GCATCCAGCCGCTCAGGAAGTTCTAGCACATCCCGCAGCTCCAGCTCCAGCTCCAGCTCCAGCAGCTCCTCTGGCTCTCTGAGCCTGGTGCAGACATGACAACGGGCGGCACTCCCGATCCAAATCCAAGCCACCTAAAGGAGATGAAAAGGAGAGGAAAAGACAAAGTCCTTCCCCTAAACCCACCAAAGTGCATATTGGGAGGCTCACCAGGAATGTGACCAAGGATCACATCATGGAGGTATTTTCCACCTATGGGAAAATTAAAATGATTGATATGCCCGTAGAAAGGATGCACCCGCATCTGTCCAAGGGCTATGCCTACGTGGAGTTCGAGAATCCAGATGAAGCTGAGAAGGCACTGAAGCACATGGTTGGAGGATAAATCGATGGCCAGGAGATAACCACCACTGCTGTGTTGGCCCCGTGGCCTCGCCCACCTCCCTGGCGATTCAGCCCTCCCAGGATCATGCTGCCACCACCTCCCATGTGGCACAGGTCACCCCCACGGATGAGGAGAAGGTCCCACTCCCCAAGGCACAGGTCCCCCATGCACCAATGATCCTGCTCCCCCCCGCTGCTGCCACAGGAGCCGCTCAAGTTCCAACTCCTCTCGATAAGCGGGGCCAGAAGCTCAAGCCCTCGATTCTACATCCTACACAGCTCAGCCTCGTCCCGGAGGTCCTAAGAGAGGAGAGCCCTCCCTCCGACAAGCCTTAAAGGCAGTGTTTGAGACATTTCTTCTGCAGGCCAAGCTCCAGCTGCAGAAGTACTGGTTTGGGATTGTGTCTGTAAAGATGCCCTTCAATTTTCTGACTAGAAGTTCACCTGTTTCCAGCTCCTGAGAGTCTGCTTCCTGGCAGGCCAGCAGGGCTCCGGGTGACAGTGCGGTCCAGTCTTGGAGCCCATCTGTCCTTTCCAAGGATCACCTGGGGCCAGTTCTGTTAGGCGTGGCCCTCTGCTACCCTGCCTGAGAGCCCTCTGACCTCTAGGACCACACACCCCAGAAAGCACCTCTCACATATGTTACGTTGTTATAAATGGTCAGACTTTCTGTGTGTTCATGTACCCCACACTTCCCTTGTTCTCTGAAATTGGGGAGCCAGCTCTTGCAGGATGGAGCCCACTGCATCTTTCCTTCATGGTGGTCTTGCAGGCTACCTTGGCAACATGTACATTGCTCTTTTTTGGCTCTTGTACAGTCAGTATGATGACACTTGTTTTGAGTTTTGTAACTTTGTAGCATTTTAGGTAAGTGGTGTTTGTACTTTGTGTGGGGTGAGAGGACTGTTGAATAAATTTAGGATTAGAGTGGAAAAAAAAAAAGAGTTGTATATTGGGACCAGCAGTTAGTGTAATGGCTATGTCGCTGGACTCCCATGTAGTCGACCCTGGTTCGAGTCCTTGATCCCGTGGCTTAAACTCAAGCCAGGTGTGTGTGTGTGTGTGTGCATGCCCAAGATCCCAAGAGGAGAATGGAGGAGAAGGGATTGCGGCATGGCCATCCCCCCGGGGGGTGATTTCTCGCTTTCTGTCTCTCTCTCTGTCTTTCTGGCGAGCACATGCACCCTATAACAAAAAACTCTCAAAAAAAAAAAAAAAAGTTGTATATCTTTTTTTTTTCTTGCCATCAAGAGTATGTGCTGGCAAGAGAGAGAGAAAGCATTCCGCAATGGAGTGTGGTTACATTGCAGTCCTTTTTACCTCCATTTCTCTATCCCATCTGGATTTTGAACATGCCTGCACATAAGCTTGGCATGTTTCTCAAGCCACCAGGGTCAGGAGTCAAATCTTGGTCAGTGACGTGGAATCCGGCTCCCTATACACGGTGTTTAACTGCTGCACTATGGGACTAGCCCAGAAGTGCACTATGTTGAGCTTTAAAAAAACACTGATGGGGGGGCCAGTAGGTGGTGTGGTGGTTAAGATGCTGGACTCTTACATTGCCAACTACGATTCAAGCCCTGAACCTGGCAACTTGAAAAATCATACCAGGCACATGTGTGTGCATGCCCAGAATCCTGAGGGGAGAATGGAGGAAAGGGATTTTACCATGGCCATTACCTCTGGGGGTGATTTCTCACTTTCCCTCTCTCTGTCTCTCTCCAGTGAGCACA